CAGCTAGAGGTTACGGGCTTATATGATGGATGTCACTGCACCTTGTGCAGACGTCGAACACCCCAGCTCACTGTTCATGAAACCAGATGGCACACTGTTCGAAATTTTGAGCATTTTGCAGTGAGGATGGTTATGAAGTGTGGTTTCGGGCCGATCTGGATTTTGAGCATGTGGACCGCTCAAAAGCTCCGGAAGGGACGATGTCCTACAGGTGTACACATGTCCATTTCATGCAGTGTTGCAGGAACGAGAGCAGCAAGAAGTCCCCCAATACAGGCAACCTTCTGAATGACTTCACTTAAACAAGCATAGTACCATGTAGCACCACCAAATTTATACTCGCCTACCACTTCCTGCAGTTCAAGTCACCAAAAGACGATTCGGATGGATTGTCTTCCACTTCGCCTGCCTCGACGTGCTTGTGGAGTACTGGAATGTATGTCCACTTAATTGGGAACGCGAGCTGTTTTCATACCGATTACAACTGACAGTTCTTCAAAATGACGGAACATAAGCCAAGGAGGTTAAGAGTGCCTCCTGGCATCCCATGTCATCGTTTCCAGGTTGCTGCTACCTGGCATTGGCCTAGAATGCTTGACTCTTGACTGGTGCATCAAGTATCTTATTAGGAGAGGCTCAACACCGGCATACATAAACTCCGCTAGTCAGTTAAATCTATTTTTTCCTGTTCATTATCTAACACTAAAGGAACGTCCGTATGATCAATTCCAAGCTGGGCATAATCAACGGGAAAGTTTGCGGCCACTTTAGCAGCTCGGCACTGCAGTTCACAAATAAGGTCAGGATTTAGGGTTCTCCAGGTAGGCTGCCAGCTCGGTGTTAACAGAGGAATAGAAAGGATTTGGTGTTTCACCCTATCCTGAAAATTGTCAGAGACCAGACTTGAGACGGAAGAATGTCTCCGTAACGGAGGGCTTCGGCCTCAGCGACTTCTGCCAGGAGCGCTGTGCCTAGTGACACGTCCGTGCCCTAACTTACTGACTGGCAATTAGAACCTAGGGGGGGGAACTCTAGTTGATTTTTCTACTGGGGCGTAACCTATGTACAAGTGGGATATATATATGGTTACAGCAGAGACGGTTCCGCAATTGGCGGAGCCGAACGGAGCGGAGCTAACGGGGTTTAACCATTAGCCGACTGAATATTACCGACGAGTCGGTTCACGGGGTTAGCGGAAAGGCAGGCGATAACCCAGAAACGGAAAGGAGGGATAAGCCCGAAGGTGGACTCTGCAGGGCAGGCGAGTGTATTGCTCAGCGGAGGCGGGGGTGCGCTAGCGGACGTCGGAGCTGTCCGGAAGTCTTCGGGGCTCCGTACTTAGGGAGGCGTAGGTAATAAATTGGAATGGGGGGGTGGTGACCATCGAGGGGTACCGAGAGGATTGCGGAATAACGGGGGCTCCGAGGTTAGTGAGGGAGGAGCGGAGTTGGAACGGAGGAATCGGAGGGACCGGAAGTCGATGGCCGGGGATGGATATGACAAAAATCATCAATGTTCGTGTCTTTCGGTGCAGCATCGAGCCCGATGTGTACAGCTTGAATGTCAGCCATGGTCCAAACCCCACAATCATACCCGTTCCATTGGCGCTGTTCCATCTAGGACTTGTAATGTATATGATGTTCATACAGCAAGATGGCACACCTACAGTGATTACTCTGGTGGACCAATTGGACCAGTTGTATCCATGCTCATCATCAGGGTGAATGAACAACCAGATGGCATTAACTAGGCCTTGAAGTATCTGAAGAAAGCAGTAACATTAAGACTGGAATGTGGGCTAGAATTAGGAAACGCACTGTAAACACCCACTGTGGACCGTGGCGATTGATATGGGCGCTTTGTTGTAGAGGTATGCTGTCAAGATAGCGCAGCTCTCGTTGTTCGAAGTTGACAACACCGAGCAGCCAGTGACCACGCCTCCTTGAGTAACACGGAATCATCCAACTGGTTGCATCGAAAAGATCAGTTCAGACCTTCTTTGTGTCAGGGCACACCCGCCTGACCCGGCTCCACCCGGCCCAACCTGACCCGGTACCCCGCTGGTCCACCCTTCCTTACCTCCTCCCCCTTTTCCTTCTTCCCCCCTCATCCTCCCCTCCTCAGTTTCTCCTTATCTTACTCCTTCTTTATTCTCCCTTTATTCCACATGGACGACTTTCTCTGTATCATTGTACAATTGACCCATCTGCAGCGCGCCCACCATGTACCCGGCCCGGGCACCTCGGGCGACCTCCCACTGTGCCCAGCACGCGCGCCTGCACCGGATACCCTTGGGATCTCCCACGGAGACACCCGGGTGGTTACGGCTGTGTGCGAGGGTGACGTGGCACCCGTCATGTGATCCAAGCCGCATGTATATAAACGAACCTGAAGTGGGAACCGAAGAAGTAGCCTTCTTCTCAACCTTCCACTTCAGGTAAGCAGTACAATATCTCTCCTTTAATGATAATAACAACCTTCCACTTCAGTCTAAGTGGCCAGGGACCACTGTCCCACATCGGGCCTGTCAGTATGCATGCCCGATCCGCCCCCCGCCAGGCTCTCGGTCCCGGACGCTATACCCGGACCCCCTCGACCCCGGACAAGTCCCTGACACTTTGTCACTCGCTAAAATATTGGTCAGTACAGATTCCATCGGTGTATTCCCACATACATCCAACAGGTGAACTGCCATACAATGTCTCATTCCTTCACACTGGGTAGGAAACATAATCACACGGGGACGAGTGGTCTTGAGTATGTCCCGCAGCTTTTCGTCTGTAAGGTCTTTCAGCATCTCAACATAGGCATCGATTATTGCTCCATGTATCATCCGCTGGCGATTGACTGTTGGTAGTGCATCAGGGAAGATCGCAATATGTTTGTAATATCTTGCTTTGTCTCTGGTCTTGCTGTCGTTCACTATCTAATGAGACATCAGTGGTGTCAGTCACAGGGGAACTTGGAAACATTCTTACTTTTTCAGTCTCTTGAGGTAAATGCAACTCCGTTATTTCCTTCCAGACTTTTGTTGTTGGGTAGACTGGGTGGGTGAGTGGATGGCATCGAAGATTGTTCTAATTGGAGGAAGGCTTTTGGGATGAGGGTTCTCATTCCAGAACCTCTCCTCAATATCCTCGTCACAGCTGGGACTATCCACATCTCCGAACCCACTAGGAGGGACCAAGTCAGTAAGAGGCTCAGCATGTGTTTCGACATTGTCTGTGGGGTCCATTGTCTCATCTGGCCATGTCTCAGGTTCGCTATCTGGAAGGTTTACCGGCATCTCAGGGCTGAGAGTATCACCTGGGCCACTGCCACTGTCGGTAGACAGGTAGGGCTCAACATGCTCATCGTCATCAGCTACACCCAGCTCTGGGCTCATCCTGATAAGTCCATCGAGTGCGCTTAGCTCGTTTCTAACTTGAGAATCATCTTCGGGGTCTATGCCGTTGGTTCCTGAGGCCAGAGTGGCAGAACCAGGGGGGGAAGGTGGAAAGAAGAATACTCCACGGTACTCGGTGCAGCTTGGGAGTCTGGACGTTCTAAGTTTGCTAGCAGATAGTGTGGCGATGCACGCCATAGATTGACATGAGGAAATGGTCCGTTCACGATCGTATCACGGCATTTGAGTAACGACTTTAGGTGGAGTTGCCATCGATATTTAAACAGGGCTGGGATCGAGGACAAATCAGCGCATTGGTAATGTGGAATTTGTAGGACATACGATGAATATCGTCTGTGATCCGAATCAACAAGTCTACCGATTGGACAATCCAGGTGCGCGCATTAAGTTCCTCTCGAGCGAGCCTAAGCTTTTCCTCCTCAATATGAGCAAGTGATAGCACCGCTACTATGCCATGGCAAACCTGTTGGTCGACTATAAAAGCTGGTGGTTTCTCATCCAAGTTCCAGTTGGAATCCCACAGGCTCTCCCACATCTTTGTCCACTGTTCATCACTGGGATCCATGTTAAGCAGCTCCTTGACATTCATTTTGGCATGTTTCAAAGAGTCCGGGAGCCAGGATGGCCTAACAGAACGCTCGAGGCAGTCGACAAGCTCGTTATATTGCGCAACATGGGTGGAAATAATACGGGCATGGTCGTTTGCGCTATTGAACACTGAGACCATTTTCGAATATCCTCAAAGTACCGGATGAATTTTCGAGCACATCAGAATTCGCCTCAAATGGGGTATGCTTACCGACTTTTGTAACCAGCCGTCCTCCACGCTGTTGTGAGCTCCGAATAGGGTTAATCTCGTCCTGGTACTTGGCTAAGCGGATAAGGATGGCATGTTTGCGGAATCGGGCCAGAATGTACTTCTCCATGTAGTCCCTTTCTGTGCTAGACGGATTTTGCGGAAGTTTCAAATCGGACAGGCCAATTTGAGCTGTCAGATCGTGTAGGCATTCTTGAGATTTATCATGCAACGATCGTACACGCTGAGCAGCTTGGAAATGCTCCATGAGGTCGATAGGACTATGGGACAGTGTTCGTGCCAAGCTGATTCGGTCCAGCTCCTTCTTTACGGCGTCCAATGCGTCCGAATGTGCCTGGGCTGATTGTTCGGCTTCCAAAAGTTTGGCGAACTTTTTCATTCCGGCTTGATCATTGTCTAGGGCATAACAGCATAAGTCAACGCCGAACATGAGATTGGGAATGGGCATACAGGCTCGAACGGAGAGCTGCAAAGACTTTTGCTCTTCCCACTGGGATTGAAGGAAAGGAGTTGTGAATCCCCTCTTACTCTTCAAATCTTGCAGGAGGTCGGTTAGAAGCGCCTCCTCACGAACAATGGTGGCCAATTTGGACCTAGCCAATGAAGCAAGGCGGTCTCGGCCACGGCACGCAATCATCTTGATTTTGTTGTCGATAGTTGTGATTCGTTTTGCCGGCTATAGTTTTGGGACAACATTGCATAAGAGAGGGTTGTCAACCGAACAGTGTTGGGACTCACACTCATTATGCGTTCAGGCGCAATTGTATCAACAATCAAGGACCATAATCGCTCATTTCCTTCCCCGTTTGACTTTCCGAACCCATTTCGTTTCCAGGGGTGAAATGCGATTTGACAACAGAATTGATGTGTGTAGGCATGGAAGACTGAAACGGCGATGCTCAATCTAGGAGCGATTTCGGGGATAAGATTGTACTTTGTTCAAATATCAGAGGTTGTAGTTGCAGACCATGCGAGGCCATACCTTGGCGATCGATCGATCAAGAACACACCCAACATCATACATTAATCCAATAGTGGCATTTGAGGGTAGTTGGCAGCTAAGTGCAAGGAGCATGGCAATTGAAAAGTGCTGCTGTTCACCCGGAGTGCGTACATCGCAGAGGAAAAGGGGGATGTCATGATGGCATACGGTTGCCATCAGGCCCTTCGAATGGAAGGTATCCGTTTTTGAGGCTGACTGCTTTCCACGTTTCGTGGCTCTGTGTGATTCTTTGCATTCATCAATAGCACCATCTGGTACAAGGGATGAGGGACGAGATACTTCCGAACAGCCTCTAGATGCAGCTCGTGCATCAGAGATATGGCGGGCAGTTTCCTCGATTTCGGCATCGGTGAGGAATGTGCAAGTTTCATTCCAGGGAAGAATCATCTCTCCTCCAACGAACATGTATTGCTTATGTTGCATATTACCATCCATGGCGACGATGACATCAGGATATCTAGGGAATCGCTTAGTATACCTGTTCCCGAAGCATATGTATGAGAGGACTAACTTGTTGGCTGAATTGCCCCACATTGAGCCTCCAAAACATTGCGGGCATCTCGCACGGAGGTATGGACTTGCGCTGCTGTCGGACGGGTTGCGAATCAGCTTTGTTCGCTCATGGACCATCGATGGAAGGTCCAGTGACGTCCCTATGGAGGTTGGGATGCCGTGGTTAACGGTCATCACGCCATGGGATGCAGTGACCGATGGATCGCCATTGTGGGCAGGAGCGACATGGGTAAACGCAGCGGACTCGACCGGCGCAGAACGACATAGCGGTGCATTGGGTGCCGCAGGGGATGTGGGTAGGAGAAACTCTCTCTCCATTTCAACCTCTACTGAGTCACGTAGGGCTTGAAACCATGTTATCGCCTCGCTAAACGACTGCAGAAAGGGGTCCTATATGCACGCCGGATCATGAAGGTGCCAATTCCCGACATGCAACAAATAGATCTTACGTTGTGGGTGAATTCGTAACCGTTCTCTCGTAACATGGCAAACAAAGCGGCATGAAAGGAGGCAATCAGGGTGTACGAGTCCACATGCAAAGCTGAATACAGCGAAAGGACGTCGAAATGAAAGGCAACTTGGGGCGTTACAGGTGACCCTGGAAAGTAGCCAGACTGGATGATGCTAAGCAGGAGAGTATTGGACGGACATTTGCAATATTCAAACGTCCGCCGCGTGGCACCTGGCTCGGGGTCATTGGGACACTGCTAAGGGAGGTCAGAATGCAAACGTACCTGAGAATGCGATCGTCATGAGTGAATGAAACTGGAAAGATGTATTGCAGTGGGAGCACAGCGATGCTGCTGGTGTTTGCAGTTTTCCGTTTCTATCATACGATGTCTCACTGGGGGCGGCAAGGGGCACGCATCCTGCCTTCTTCGCCTCTAGACCTAGATAGATTTCCACCGCTTTGTGTATTACATCGCGGCGCCAATGGAGCCATGCAACTTGCTTTTGCGGATTTCGTAATGCTCTCTTGGCCCGCTTTCGGGAAGCTGACCGCAACAGTGTAGGGGACAGAGCAGTGTCTGGGCCCGAAGGAGTGGGCTCTGCGATATTTTCCAGCCAACCCTGAGGGGATGCTTCCCATATTGGTGATTCCTTTTTTAGAGCTGGCGTTGAAGGGGGAGTCGAAACATTGCTGGCATCCACTGACATTGCATTTCCTATGTGATCGTGGCGATTTGGCACCTGCCACCAATGCGTAGGCTCAATGCCAGGCCCCCAGCGTTGCATCATCACGGTGCCGCTGGCGTTTGCTATCTCAATGCGTCGTGACGGCTGGGAAATAGGGACTTCAGCGGCTGGGACGTGCTTAGGTCCTTTCTTTTTGGACGTTGAGGGTTTGGATTCAGGTGCGGATTGGGGGCCAAGGAAATCGGCATATTTTTTAGGTCTTTTTAAATTATATGGCTGATATTTTTTCACAGGCGAAGTAGTAAGGGGTGGAATTACAGGCTTATGCCTCGGCATGGGAGTAGCTGCTAAAGAAACTAATGGGTTCGGGTCAAAGGAGCAGAACGGGATAGGTCTCCCCCAACAAGTGTGGGTATATCGGCCGAGTTACGCTGGTAGCCGACCTGTAAGAGAGACATGCACTCAGCTGCATATTCATGTGTGTAGCTGTAGTACATACCAATAGGAACGGATACCAAACGGGGCGATTTGCAGCGAAGAAGGGTGATTACTGGTGCTCGCTCAGCGCTGAGGAATATATGTATAGCACGGGCACTGGTCTTATAAAGGTCTTTGGGTATTGGATATTCAGTGGCAGGCAGTGGCGAGGGCACATGTTGGGTTGAAGTCCCAGCCCAACTGTACCGTTTCTGATGTCACTTTAGCGCCGATTGAGGGGTGCATGGTTGCTGGACAGCGGATATGAATACGGTCCCACTGATATGGATTGGACAAGAGGATAGTGCGCGATATGAGAGTGTAGAGGATCGTGGCGAACACCCAACAATTCTGAGATCTTTTGCACCCATTCGACGCCCGTTCGATGACAAAAGACGACGCACACAGCGTTTGTCACCGTTTTAGGGATGTATGAGCGCAGACAGCGAGATCTGAGGGTCAGTGTGCAAGCAAGCAGGGAGGGGAATTGCATGTCGGTGTGTAATGCAATACACCGTTTGGGTAAGATGATTTGATGGGGGCCTAGGAAGGTGTATGTATGTGTTGTAGTGCATCTACCTCTTGTTTGATTTCCTTTTCTTTTCTTTTTATGTGTCACATGACTGCAGAGATGAACTCTATCTGTTTCTACTCTTGTATAAACATTACAGTTCATCTCAGAGGTGCCATAACCTGAGTTACAACAGTATGACACGAGATCGGAGTGCTTTTGCAGCGGGTGGCCCAGACAAACCAAACAACTGCGAGTACCAGGGGTGCATGATTGCTGGACAGCGGATAGCGAATATGAATACGGTCCCACTGATACGGATTGGACAAGAGGATAGCGCGTGGTGTAGAGGATCGTGGCGGATACTCAACAATTCTGAGATCTTTTGCACCCATTTGATGCCTGTTCGATGACAGAAGACAATGCACAGAGCGTTTGTCGCCGTTTTAGGGATGTATAAGCGCAGACAGCGAGATCTGAGGGTCAGTGCACAAGCAAGCAGGGAGGGGAATCGCGTGTCGGTGTGTAATGCAATACACCATTTGGGTAAGATGTTCTGATGGGGGCCTAGGAAGGTGTGTGTATGATACGACTGGACAGCAGACAGCAAATATGAATACGGTCCCACTGATACGGATTGGACAAGGGGATAGCGCGTAATACGAGGGTGTAGAGGATCGTGGCAAACACCCAATGGTTCTGCTCACTGAGATCTTTTGCACCCGTTCGATAACAAAAGACAACACACAGAGCGTTTTAGGGTGTATGAGTGCAGACAGCGAGATCTGAGGGTCGGTGTGCAAGCAAGCAGGGAGGGGAATTGCGTGTCGGTGCGACCGTTTGGGTAAAAGATTTTGATGGGGGCCTAGGAAGGTGTATAGCTGTCAATGTATGGCACGGAATCGGAGCAGGGGATCGGTTTTTGCGGCGGGTGGCCCAGACGAACCAAACAACCGCGAGTACCAGCGGTGCTAGGTGCAACCTCCGGCCCTCTGCAGGTATCTCCACGGACAAGCCCCAAATCCTCACGCAGAATATACAGAACGGCCTGGAGAAACCGTTACTCTACATAGATGGTGTACTCAGAGGGCTGGGTTGATTGGGGGGATCCCTGTCATTAACCGTGGTGCACTAGCAACGCGCTAAGCGCCTCCAGTGGATTTCAGTTAAATACAAAGAGTGGTCCTTTTTAATGATATCTATAACGAGATTGGAGGCGAATGTATTGCGTTCTGTTAGGTGCAGGGCTGGGAATGATGCCAACGATGGATTTCGAGCTTACCGAATATGCCACTTATGGCAATAAATAGGAAGTAGAACACCCAAGGAATAGAGGATGGGTCTGTAGTGCAACGTACGGTTATTGTCATGACCGACAAATCCCGGGGCTCCGTCAGCGGCGAACCAATGCCGATAGGCGAATCCGCCGACCCGAAACCCATCCTAACCAGCCCCCAACCCCATGTCTGGCCCCCTGCCTTACTGTGTGAGACTTGGCCAAGAATCAGAACCTAGACCCTGCCGGTATTCCGACCTTACCTCCAGTTCCTGAGCCCTTGGCGCTCCCGGCATTCAGTCACGCCTGCCTTGTCTCCATCTGAACCACACTCATCGCTTCCCACTATGTGGTCACAGCCATGCCCCGCTTCCGTCCACTCCGCACCCTCTGCCCACTCCGCACCCTCTGCCCATCTCTGCACCTTCTGGCCACTTCTGGTTGCCCTTGACACCTCTGGTCAGGTCAACACTCCCACCCCCCTCTGTACCTCTGTTGGCCTTCATGCTGTCCTTGTGTGACAGTGCTGGCAGATCAACTTCTGTTCGCGGACTTGTGTCGGCACCGCACCGACCCCGCTTATTTGCGGACTTGTATCGGCGCCGCATGCTGACCTCCGCTTTTCCTCTGGCCATTTGTCACTTGGCAGCTTATCATTCATTCCTTGCCGAGTGCCATTTATTGTTTGCTTCCCTGCCAATATCGGCATTTGATCCCCTCTTTATTGGCACTAGGTTATTGATCTCATTCAGTTATTCATCAATAACCCTTGCCACTTATTGTTTAGTGATCTGTTCCTCCTTTCCAGTTCCCGGGCTCTTGTCCTTATTTAGTTTGACAATCCCCACTTATCTCCACGCCGGACCACGCCGGACTGACCGGCCTTTCTATATTCCCTCTTGCCTATTTATATACCTTGTAAATACTTTTGGGGACCTCAGTCTGAAATCAACTAGAGTACCCCCCTGTCTGTTCTGAGTCCCTCCTTCTGCAAAGGGGGCTTCCCCCCCTCTGAGTCCGTGCTCGCGGAGTCCGTGCTCCTCCTATAGGTCCGCTCCGCCTGCAAGTCTTGTTTGAAGTCCGCTGTGAGTGTCAATCCGTAAATACGGGATCTCCCCCAAACGTCAAGCTCAGGGCACAGCGCTCCACCTGAGTCGCTGAGGCCGCGATCCCACTCTGCTAACCTTGAACAGCGCTTCCGGACGCGCCGCACATTTCCGCCCACATATCTGCACGCATGCTCCAACAGACCTCTGCATCAACTCCGACCCCGACTCAGACAGAAACCCATTCCGTCTTCAGTCCGACTTCTGACAGTCTGCCTGGCTCTGACAATATTCCTCACTCTGACAATATTCCAGACTCTGACAGTACTTCCGACTCCGACAATAATCCCGTCTCTGACAGTTATCCTGATGTTGAGGACGTCGATTGACGCACCTTACCTACAACGACGTTCACAGAGGAGAGGGAGGGTATCACCCTTCGGATGCAAATTTAAGGGACCCGTGATAAGCCCGTTCCGAGGTCGACGTTTCTTTTTTGAGTTAGGTGATGTGACCGCCATTTCCACTTGGCCGCCGGTGTTCTTGACGTGCAGTTGTCATCGAACTTCGGTGATAATTTAACGGAGCACAATGCGGATTCGATGCACTTTCTATGTACTGTGCATAATTATTTGATGCGACCGTTGTTGTGAGCGCTGATATGATATGGTTGCAATATTAATATTCACCGAGGCACAACGCTGTCACTCATCCTGTACCCAGGACTCTTTCGCGCCATGGGCGGGAGGGTGCGAGATTCGTTGTTTTTACTTGTGTCGCGCACGGTTCAGTCAGGTTGTGTCTATGTATTCATTATCTGCGCAGTTATGAACCAGGTTTGCAATGCTCAACATCCTGAGCAGAATTCAGCCACCAATGAGGTGCCTCCCAACCACCCAAAATTAAAGCCAAAATCAGATAAACTAACAATGCATTGACACTCGTACTGAAGTTCAAGAATCAGTGTGTTGCTTCCTCACAATGCCAATATCTTTTACTCACCCGGCGTCAAGGGCGGAGCTCAACACGTATCGATACTTCTCGAACCATTCCGTTCTATATGAAAGAAAGGGGAATGCATTAAAATGGAATCACTAGAGAAGATTCAGATGAGTGACGGAAAAACGACCGAAGGTCTGGTGGCTTGCGGGAGGTCTTTTCGGTTCGGCTGTCACCGTCCCACCGCATCCAGTTATGTGCGGTTTGTGAATGAAACGGCTGGCCCAGCTTTGGCCGAGAGCCCGTTTTGGGGACATGCATACCCCACGATTGAATTGGTTCTCACGGGGATGAAGGTGGTCAATGTCATATCCATACAATCCCGACCTCCGCTCCGGGCTCCCGGAACTCCGAACTCCGACTTCCGGAGCCCTACTTCCCTTCCGTCACCTTCTCCTTGCCGACTCCCAAGAGGTTATCCCACCTCCGGCTCGGACACCACCTTCAGTCCGACTCCGGAACATTCCGGGTCCGACCCCAACCTCGACACCTTCCAGAGGAGTACGCAAAACCTATGCTCCCGACTCCGGACCTCCGCTCCGGTATCCCGTTCACGTCTCGTCTCCGGAACCTCCGGTCTTAGCTCCGACCTCGGACTTTGACCCCACCTCCGCTTATACCCATTGTATTGGTTAGCTCATTCCATTTAATTACCTTTGCCAATATTCCGGAGTTTAACCTCCGAGTTCGGACTTTCCGGACTTACTCCGGACCTTGCAACTATTGCATTGTCCATTTCAATTCCGCTATTCTCCCTCATTCCTATTTGGGCTGCTGCTTCCTTTCTATTCAGTCAGCTAGCCATTCCCGACTCCCATCCTCCTTCCTTCCTTCTTGGGCCTTGGCCCTTCATTCCTCCTTTGGGAAACACCATTGAGTCAAACACTTGACCCTCGGTGTTGTTCCTCTTTCCATCTCCCTTTGTCTCCTTTCGTCCTACCCTTGTTCCTTTTGATTCCGGACCCCTCCTTATATACAATGTACCTAGTAACTTGTAACCTCAGTCCGAAATCGACTTGAATTCCCCCCAAGAGACTTTCCCTCTGCTAGATCCGAAATTAGGGACCCCTAGGACAACCAGCAATGGCACAGTGCTCCGCCTGAGTCGCTGAGGCCAAGGTCCTTCCATGCTAAGTCTCCGATTCCACTCCGGAGTCGTCCGAATCCCCGCATTTTAACACCCTCATTTTCCCCCCATTTCCCCCCTTTAATTTCCCCTCATTCCCCCCCCCCCAATTCCCCCCCATTCCCCCCCCTCAATTTTCCCCTCATTTTCCCCCCCTTTCTCCCCTATTTTCCCCCTCATTTCCCCCCCCCATTTTCCCCCTCATTCTCCCCCTCATTCTCCCCCCATTTTCCCCTAAGTAATTTCGGATTAACCCTATTTATAACCCTAAATTCAGTGTATATATCAATTGGGTTGTGTGCCCTTGGTGTGCAGTGCCACATGAGGGGTTGTGAGTTAAGTAGACTGTTGTCCAGTTGACCCTAGGGTAGGAACTTGACTGTGGCCAGTCACATGATACTGTAGTCAAGCTTTTTATTTTTTTGAATTTTTGCGAATTAAACATGGGCTCAGGGTGCTCATAGAGCTAATAGTCCTCTGTGGACAAATATATCTCTATGAGCTCTCAGAGCTTTGACTACTTTTCGGAGCTCTCAGAGCTTTGAGCTACTTTCCCGAGCTCTCAGAGAGGGGGACCTGCAATTTTCAAAGTTCATAGCTCTGTGAGCTCTGAGAGCTCTATGAGCTCTCATACCTCCTGGTTGGGTTTGCTGATGTAGGCGGCTGAAGGATTTGCGGGAGTGGGACTTGAACCGCTTTGTTGGTCGCAGTTGCGGTTCTATGCAGTTACAGCTTCGGTATTCTGATGGCTTTTGTTGTATAGGGTCAGTGTTCCAGCGAGAGATCCATTCGTCCTTATATTGGCGTTTGTTTAGGTTTCTCATGAATGCCGCTGAGGTACTGTACGGGTATTCGGATGGCAGGTTGGAGCCTTCTTTGGCTAGGGTGTCTGCCCGTTCGTTCCCTTTGATATCTTCGTGTCCTGGGACCCACTTTATAATTACGTCGCAGAGGGGGCGTTCTGAAAGAAGGAGGAGGATGGTGTTGCGGAATCGGAGTGATTGTTGGATGTCCAGTCCTGGGGACGTGGCCATTATGCGCTGGAGTGCTCCAGTGTTATCGGAGAAGATTGAGAGGGTGAGTTTGTCTCCTTTTTGGTAGTGCTCGTCGAGCCAGATCTTGAGGTTAGCTGATCCTTGCGCTAGTCCCTCCATTTCCGCATCATACACCTCTGCTCTAGGTCCTGTTCCCCCCTTCCCTTCGAATATGACACGTGCCTTTTGGTAGGCTGCAAACCCGTATCCCGTTTTTCGGATGCCCTGGTCGTGCGCAAGTGAGCCATCGGTGTATAGTAGGATGTGGGACTCATCGTGTTTCCATTTTTTTAATCCGTTCTTGTGTTCCTTTGCCCAGGTCTTTTTGGCTGATTCTCCTGGTTCGTTGGTTGGTATTTCTATCTTTACTCTTCCTTCTAAGTCGTCTATTGTTTTTGCCCATGGTGGTGCTGGCCATAATGTTGTTGGTTCCATTTCTGTTTCGATTTCTTTTGCCATTCTCCAAATTTGCGTGCTATTTTGGTCTTTTTCTTTTCTTTTTTCCTGTTTCTCTTTGTTTTTTAGGTTTCTTCTTTTAGGGTGTGGTATCGGGATGGGGGGGGTGTTCATGTCTGAGGGGATGAATATTTGCTTTTCAGGGGTATGCGGGATATGATTGGGTTATTGGTATCGAGTCTGGCGAAGCGTAGGGTGGCTCGGCGGATTATGTAGTCTAGGGTGATGTCTATTGGGGGATGCTGCATTCTAGTTCTAGGGCATATGTTGGGGTGGTTCGGAATGCTCCTGAGATGAATCGTAAGGCTATGTTTTGGACTCGGGTTAGTAGCTGAGAGTGGGATTTCTTGTTGCGCCACCAGGTTGGGGCTCCATATGTCATCATGGGTACAATGGCCCCTAAGTAGATCAGACGTCTCTGTGTTTGGTGCATTCCACTGACCGAGTTCCCCAATATGGCTAGGGCGTTGGCTGCTTTTGTGGCTTTGGCACATACTTTACGCACATGTGGGGTGAATGATAGCTTGGTGTCCCATGTAATACCGAGCCATTTGATCTCCTTTGAGTGTTTTATGGTGAAGCTTGGGCGATTGTTGCGTGCTGGTATGTTAAGGTCAAGATGGGTTTGTCTGGAGTGCGTGAAATGGATGAGCCCTGTTTTGAGTGTGTCTAACGACAGGCCTCTGTCTCTAACCCAGTTCTCTGTGGCTAAGTACGAGTATCTTGCCAATTTGATGTTGGTTTCAATAGTCTTAGAAATGATGAGAATGTTGCCGTCGTCTACATAAAGAATTGTGTTGGTTTGTTTTGGGGAGTCTGATAGTATTGAGTTTTTGGTTCGTGCCGGGAGGTTTTCTACTTTGGTGGCTGAGTTGATAGCATTCATCAGGGGTGCTGAGAAATAGGCTGCTAGGACGGGTGAGACACAGCTGCCTTGGGGGATGCCAGTTAGTGTGGGTTTCATCTCATCTTGGATGCCATCTAGGATTAGCGCTGTGCGGCGGTCACTTAGGAAGGATGCCACCCATTTCACAATGGGGGGGGGATTTGCTTGTCGCGCAGTGTGTTGAGGAGGTGGGGATGGGAGACGAAGTCAAAGAAACCGGTGATGTCAAAGGTGAGTGAGGTGGCCACTAGTTTGTGGTTGAGCGCGGCCTCAATGTCGTGTACAACTGAGAGGGTGGCATCATCTGCTGACCTGCCCTTCATGCCGCCAAACTGGTTAGTCGGCAGGAGTTCATGCTGGCTGGCATAGTATGATAAGCAGTTAGATATTATTCTTTCAATTACCTTTCCTAGTACTTCTAGGAGTTGTATGGGTCTGTATGCGCGTGGGTGGGTGTAGTCCGGTTTGTTGGGTTTGCAGAGGGTTATAACTAGGGCATCGTGAAATTGGGCAGGGTGGTAGCCAGTTTCTATGGCTGCTTGGATGATTGACGTAATTTCTTTTTCGGCCATGGTCCAGGCTATCTTGTAGGCGATGCCGCTTAGTTTCCTGGGGCCTGGGGCATTGTACGATGCCGCTTTGAGTATGGCGCGTCTGATTTCTCCCTTTGTTATCGGGTCCCATGGGATATCCTCTTCGTTGGAGTTGAGATTTATGGGGGGTGGGTTGTGGATATCCGGTGGGCGGGGGAGGAGGTGGGTGCGGAGAGTGTTGATTTTGTCTTGGTGGGTGATCACGTGGGGGAGGTGATTGCTGCGGCTTATGTGTGGGGTGAGGTAGTTCCAGGATCCTGTGCTCCACTGTACTAGGGGCCAAAAGTTAGAATTATTAGTGTTTCTGGCCACTTCAGTGTAGAACGCTTTTTTTGTCTTTCGGAATAGTCTCTTGAACCGAGCTGCTGCGTGTTTCATGTTGTTCTTGGTTTGTTCTGTTATGGCACCCGTTGCTGATTTCTCCACACGGGCTAGTTCTCTGGTGTTCACTATGTCTATTCTGGCATTGGTTAATTCGATCGACCAGAAGGGTTTGGCACGCTTGTGCGGTTTCCTCCGTGGGCAGTTCTCTTCTGCTGCTTCTCGTATGTGGTTTTGTAGCTTCTCAACTGCTGAGTCAATTTGTTCATGTGTCGGAAGTTGGTTGCGCCAGTTGAGGATTGGTTGGAATGAATGTTGGTATTCATGGGTGTTTAGGCTGAGTCTTTTTTCGATCGATTTGGTGAAGTTTGTTTGGTCTAGTTTTCTCCACATGAATTTTTCTGGGTGTTCCGGTTCAGTAGTTTGGGCTGTATCTAGGTTCAATTGGAAAGTTGTAGTAAAATGGTCGGATCCGCAGTTGATTGAGGGGTCAATAGTCCAGTGGCTGATGACATCTTGGTGTGTGGCTAGGTAGTTAGTGAACGTCAGGTCGAGTGCTGATTCTGAGGAGCCATCGTGGGAGATCCGGGTGGTTTGGTCCCATTCATTAATTAGGTTTAAACCGTTTTCATGGGTCCATTCCGCTGTGCGGGTGTCTCTGGGAGTGGCTGCCCGGTTTGCTGGTAGTTGGTTGAAGTCTGGATGGTGGGTGTTCCAATCTCCTGTGAGGATTGTGGGGGTCAGTGGATCAAGAGAAGTGGCACATAGAATGTCTATCGAGTGGATGCCTGCTTGCGAGTCTTGCAGGAGTTGGTTGTAGATATTGTATATGCGGATGCTCTGGTTGTTCCTTTGTATCGATATATCTAGGATCTGTATGTCAAGGTGGTTCAGTATGTCTGTTCTGGGTGTGATGATGATACCTGAGTTTTGGCGCAGGTATGCGAAAACTCTAGGTCTTTCTCCTTCCTCTATGGGATTCGCTGTCGGGAGGATGGGTGTCCATCCTGTTAGGTTACATGATAGCCATGTGTCGTTGGGGCGGCCCCACCAGGGTTCCTGTATCAGGATGATGTCAAACCTAATGTTGGGGTGAGTGGATGCGACGTGTAAGGCTGAGGTATGTATGATTGGAGACCTCGCTACGTTGAGACTGAAGATGTTAATGTGGGAGAGTCTGTTCCTCATTGGGGAGTCGGTGTGTTTGGTGGGACATTGTCTGCTGTGTCGCTTTCAGGTTGGATGTGAGGGGTGAGGGTGGTTTTTCCAGAGTTGTTGGGGTTTAAGGCTTTTCGTCTGGAGACTTTTAAGGTCAGTTTCGGGAGAGGAATACCCATCTTTTTCATGTACACTGTGCAGTTCCTATCGTTGTATTCGTGGTTTTTACCACAGTTAACGCACTTCATCGGGGTGTCAACTGGGTGTTCCGTTGTTGTGTGGTTTTCATCAGCGCATTTGAGGCATCTTGGTTTGGTGCAGTCCGTTGTACGGTGGTTCAGTGATCCACATAGGCTGCAGTAGAAGGCCCTCTTTCTTTCTTCGAATGTTGATGTTGTGCATCGGTTGCCTAGACAGAGGAAACAGCTGGCTTTGAGAAATCTTTGGGCCTTTTCATGGGAGTCGAACGTGAAGACTAGGGTCGAGTTCTCCTTGTCACGAGATTTCACTAGCCATGAGGGTTCCCTGTCCGGGGAGTATAGTTCATCCCAGTCTTGGTAGTTGCTGCGGAGGATTGAGAGAATCGCCTCCGGGGTGTAGTTGATGGCAAAACCGTTGGAGGTGGATCGCATGGGGACATTGTCGAGTTTGACCTTGTATAATTGTTTGTCGGGGAATCCCTGGAAGTGGTCTATGGTGTTGTTCGGGTCTAGGATCTCCATAATCTTGGAGGTGTGTTCTTGGAGGTCTGTTGCTATTGTCTGCCCTGCGCCGGTGAGTACGATGTTGTTTGTTGTCGTCATCGCGATGTCCATGATGCTAAGGTTGCGGTCTAGACCTGCATGCCATAGTGCTTCGTTGACAGCTTTGATCATTTCTGGGCCAAATTTCCGGTTTTCGGTTGGGAGTTTTTGTCTGGACATGATGATAAGGCGAGCCGGGTGGTTTCTATCTGAGGGTTGTGAGGGGGCACGGGGCAGTGGGACGGATTTTCTGGGAAATCTTTTGGGTGGGGGGACATTACCGTTACTCTGGATTGCCTGCGCATACGTGTTAGATGCGCGGATGGATTCTGTGGCTGTAGGGAAGTCCTGCTGGTAGTCGGGTGATTGGTGTTCTACGTTGGTTGTGGTTGTGTTGGTGGCACGTGTGGGTGCATTGGTTCTCGCTATTTCGAGCTGTTTTACTAGCGATGCATTTGTGTCGGTGAGTTGTTTGGCGATAGCGATTGCGTCGGCCAGGGCCTTCTGGGGCTCTGGGTTGTGGCTTGGGGCTGGTGGGGCAGTTGGGGCAGTTGGGTCCTGTAGTTTTTCGATGTCACATGCGCTGATGTTGAGGTCCGCTAGGAGGTTGGCCAGATTGCGTTTGGTTGTGTCTGAGAGGCCTTCTTCTTTGAGTTCATTAGTGATATCTTGGTGTTTGCGCATGTAACTGGAGATGTTGTCAATGTATCGGTTGATGGTTCTGGTGTATTCTCGGTGTTTTTCGCTAGAGTGTTCGGCTTCGGTGTCCCAGCTTATGTTGCCAGGGAACCTATGTGCCCTTGGGGTGGCTGGTGAGGAGCTAGGGGAGCTGTCAGGAGAGAAGACCCTTTTCCTCTTCTTGGGTGTGGATGGCGGGTCGGGGTTGGGGCTGTTTCTCCCAGGTGACTCGTCCCGAGAATGAGGCCGTTCTGGCGGAAGGGACGGTCTTTGAATCATATTTGAAACTTACCTTGTGTATTTTATTTTATTTTATTTTTGCCGCAGTCGGTTGTGGTCGGTGCGTAGTGATAGTTGTTCGAGACAATGGCGGTACACTCAGTAATATTCCGCAATGGGATTAAGTCCAAACCTTCACAAGCAAATGAAGAGCTTCTTTCCCTGCCTGCATCCACGTGGTCATTTCCCTAATACCCCCACCTTTGCCGCACGTCTTCTCGAATCTTCGCCTCTGCTTCGTAGACATTGCTGATCTCCCCCACCATTCCTGATAATAATTTTGACGGGATCGGACACCTCGGCGACGGACGGCTTCAACGCCACACAACTTAAGGTCTCAGATAATTTGCAGTAGGTTGATACCTTGCTCTTTTTTCCTCCGCTGCGGCTCCCAACGGCGATGGCTTTGTCGCAATGCTGACAAGCCTAGCGCGTGCCTAGTTCCATTTCCAAGTCATCCTCCACCTTCGATCTCTTCTATCTAGAGACATGGACGTTCCTACATTGCTTCTTCCGGAGGACGAAGGCTCGGCCCAGACCTCTATTACGTCCGCTGCAATAACGCCAAACCACCAGGACTCCGGAAATGGTGTTGCTGGCGCTGGAAATGCCACCGAAAATGCCACCAATTCCGTCGATAGTGAGTCAGCTATTTGCAGAGCCTTGGGTCCTTCTTGTTCAAGCCATCGACCTCCTTATCAGAAGCGATCGCTATGTTATTACCGTCTCAGCGTGGCCCCGAAGGATATTTCCATGACACGATCCCCTCCTTCGCTTCAAGCTCGACTTCGCCAAGCGTTTTGCCGGTAGCGACCGAGCCTCCTGATTTCCCAGAACGTGCCTCGGTCGACGATTTTCTCTTCGAAGTAAGAATCAATATTATGATGCCTTGAATCCTCACTCATCCGAGTTTTAAAGCTTGATGAGGGAATCGAGCCCTCACTCGAGCCTCCCCTGCCCGATGACACATCTTCTACAACGCTTCGTGACCGACTTAGCGTCCCATTTTCCTGGTCAACACCCACTTTATCCGATGGTTCATCCACAATCGCCCCATCTTTTACATCTTCTGCATCGTTCACATCGTCTTTAAGGAAGAGAGTTGCAAGCATTGCGTCGGCAGGCGCTTTCTTCGCCGAATGCTTGGATTCGAGGCCATATCGAATCTTTTCTGTGCGAACGTTCTGCGAGAGCTTATTCAATAGTCGTCGTGCTGCTAATGCCAGGATCGTGTCCGTCCAACGATATGGCGATCTTCAAGGGGTGCCGCATCGATTTCTCATCCTCCATGTCACTCGAGCCGACGGAAGGGAATTCTATGTTCGGTTGGATCGCAGACGGGACCACAAAGTCCCGTTGTGGTTGTTTGGAGTACGGGATTTGGGAACGTCACACGCGATAGATACGGTATGTAACAAACCCTTTGATGTCTTTACCGCAGCTAAGAGGCGGTGCTACTCGATAGGCTGCTGTTTCTGGCAGACTCGACCACCTTCTTGATTTCACCAACACCAAGTCCGGCGTAGAGGCTGTCATGGTCTTCCCTACTCCTGCTCCTTTGATCGTGGCTGCACAAATTCTGTATGCTATCGCAGCGGAAGCTCCTGATTACAAGCTAACCAAAGTGAGCGTCGGTGTCCGGCCCTGTTTCATCATCAGTTGACCATTAGCTCCATATAGGAAAATTGTTGGTTTTTCGCCTCCACCACCCAGGAAATGTTAGTGCGGATGTTTGGGGCAAAGTATGAGAGAGGGTCTCTTAACCATTCCACAATCGGTTCTGAGAGACGAGAACGGATTAAAGTCCTGACGTATTCGCACATTACAAAAGACATTAATAACAAATTGGAGACCATTCCAAGCTTCGCTGATTCAATGGACGACTCAAAGCTAAGGAAGGCTATAAAGTCCGTCCTTGATACTATAAAACATCACCTTGTGAGAGAATGGCCCTCGTGCCGCACTCAGTGTAACTGATCCTGTCCGAGCCATCAGCCCGCTTATCACACTTCCCCACCCGATGCATTCCAAATCTCCACATCCACTCAAGCACTCCTTGCTGTATTGCAACGGACATTACACGAACACCTACATGGAATCTATGGAATTAAAGGCGCACGGATCTTCTCGCACGATTTCACCGAGTTAGTAAATCTGAACGGCACTTTATGCGAAATTCCTGTTAACTTTCTGTTTTCCAGTAAATTAGTTCAGATCATCCCATCGTTGGAACAACTCCAAGAAGATGCTAGTATCATAAACCTCTTGGAATCATCTGTATGTGAATCACGCTGTCTGAGTTGTGGACCGTCTAATCTCCCCACCAGCTGCGGGAAGGTCTTGCAGTGCATCGTCGATCCTCAGTCATGTACGATTCGCTCAAAAGTGACCTCGATTCATTTTCCAAGCCCTCTCCCCGGAAGGACATGGTGCTCTTCTCGTTGGAGCTGCTTGGGCGATGTGCAGTGCTGGATCAGTTGCCAGCGCTATGGCGTTTCCAAGTAGATGCAGAAATTCCTGATCTCCAACCTGAGTTTGAGAGGCTGATGACGACGCAGCTGAAGTTTGTGTGTTTCCATTGGATTACTCTCCTTTGAAAGTCGGATGAGAACCACGACGATGAAATAATGAAGGCCCTTTCCAACGCTGTCCCGGCCTTTCTCCACTGGATTGCGGCAATGGGAATCATGGGTGAAATTGACCAAGCGTGCCAAGGCATGAAAGAACTACAACGGTGGCTAGTACGTCAAAAATTACTTGGATACTAGCATATGGCTCACTTCGGTGTTTTGAAGGTCGACATTCAAGCAGTCAATAGTATAGGTCACGTAATTCGCGACCTGCTCTGTCTAGTCGAGCGATCCCGGAGTGCATTAGCGGCCTCGTCCTTATCTACACTTGGAAGTAGCCATCCATTTATTCCATCAGGTAGCGCGTTGGATGCAACATTTCCAAAGAAGGGGGCTGTTAAATGCCGTATTGTTTCTCGTGGAATCGATAGCAGCCAACCATGGTCACCGCAAGCGGGGATAATCCAGAGCCCAAGTAGACCCCGCTCTGCGGCATTTTCTCCAGATGGCTGTCATCTGGTCTCAGCCTGTGGGGATGGTGTTGTACGGATCTGGGATGCGGCGACGAGAGCGCTTCTTCGGGAAATGAAGGGACATACTCGTGAGGCCAATTCCGTTGCATATTCACCAGATGGCATTCATCTGGCCTCGGCATCGCATGATCGCGCTGTGCGGTTCTGGGATGCGGTAACGGGAGCATGCCTTCGAGAACTGAAGGGGCATACTGACGTGGTGAGATTTGTGACATTTTCCCCTGATGGCCTTCGTCTGGCCTCGGCTTCGTATGATCGCACTGTGCAAGTTTGGGATACAGTAACAGGGAAGCCCCTCCGGGAATTGAAGAATGATGATATCATTGCTCTGTCCGTTTCCTTTTCACCAGATGGGCGTTATCTAGCCTCAGATGATAGCAACGTGCGTATCTGGGACGCATCGACAGGAGCACTTCTTCAAATACTGCAGGAACGGACCTCCAACGTCTATTTTGTGAAGTTTTCGCCAGATGGATGTTATCTGGCCTCAGCCTTGTCGAATGATACCATACATGTTTGGAATGTGGCAACAGGAGTCCCGCTTCAAGAGCTGAAGGGACATACCGAGAGTGTCAACTCCTTGGATTTCTCGCCGGATGGCCATCATCTGGCCTCGGCCTCAGACGACAGCACAGTGCGCATCTGGGATGCGGCAACAGGAGCGCCTCTTCGAGAGCTGAAAGGGCATACTGGTGGGGTTCGGTCCGTGAAATTTTCGCCAGATGGTTGTTATCTGGCCTCGGCATCTTTGGATGGCACTGTACATGTATGGGATGCAACGATGGAATCACCCACTCGAGGGCCAAAGGCAACGAAAGGTCATGTTGACACCATATCCTGTGTGGAATTTTCGCCTGATGGATGCCATCTTGTTTCGGCCTCCAAGGATGGCAGAGTGTGTGCCTGGGACATTGCCGACAGGAGTTGCATTGAGCAGACACAGCTCAATGAGATCTTTCGTCCTCACCAAATGCTATTTTCCACCGATGCCTTAACACTTCGCGTCCGAGGTCAGAAAGAGACAAAACATCTCAGCTTTCCAAAGTTAAGCGACCTATCCAACCCAATTTCAACATCCTTCCACACATCTTCACCCACCCATCTCTTTCTTGATCATAATGCTCTTTGCATCAAGCGCGAAAACCTTTCCCTGCACATCTGTTGGCTACCCGACTACTTCAAGCCTAGCTGTCCAATCGCGGAACACGGTAATCATGTTAGCATTGGTGGAGAGGGAGGGATGATCGCATTCATCAATTTAGACGGACTTGTACCCCCCTCCATTTAGCACTTGCGTGGTATGACAACCACATTTGCTGAGCATATACAAGGATCGCAACTGCCAATAATAATTTCTAACTTGACTAATTTTTAACTTTTAGCGATCGGAGGCGAACCTGATCAGAGTTTACTACATATTAACGGGTTCTTGGTATATGCATGTAATTGCTCCTTTTGACATGTTGAATTGACATTATCATTTCCTTTCGTCATCTCAATGCCCTATTCATGATGACCAATCCTGATTATCCGATTACCTGTGGACCTGCGCCTCATGAATGAACACTTAGCCTCTCATCGGGCATTATATAAGGTCCGCACTCGAATACCTGAACAGGTAAATCTACCACTGGGCTAATTTACAGGGAGTGTGAGAGGCGGTAAAAATGGAGGAAATCATGCACATGAATATTGAGAGGGGTACGTAAGACCCCAATTTGATGCGCAGAACCTAGGAATTTGTGTAGGATCCCTTGCGGATGGTCTGTAAGCGAATATGACGGGGTAGAATGGAGATGTTCCACCAAGGGGTGTCACGCAGCGTCCATACCGTGCCACAGGTTTATAGGAGGGCACATAGTGATTGAGAGTGGACGATACTGGGACGAAGAGGTGGAGAATAACTAGGAGCGGACTCGTATACCGGAGATCGGCCAGCTTGCATAGTGGGTCTATAATGGAGTATCTCGGAGGTGTTGAACCCAACGCCCCCGTGCTAAGCAAGTACAGCAAGCTGAGACTCGTGCTGATGTTCATACACTCAGTCCGCTCGCAGCGCACAGTTGACTGGACAGTGACAGAGAACGGGCTTGACCCCTGTAGCCTTTGTGGGATCCGGCTCGGATCTCAAGTGCTTGGCATGGCTGTGGCTTTCAATTGGAGATGCTCGATTTGGGAACCTCTTGCCATTGAATGGCTAACCATCCACTACATGTGTTACTCGATTGCGCACAGACACTACATACAAGCGCACATCTCAGGCACGAAGCTTTGGTGTGAGTATGGATATGCTCCGCCGCCTAGCTGCAGTACACTCAGCAATAGGATCAAGTCCGACAGAGCTTCTCGAATCTTCGCCTCTCTGCTCCGTAGACGTTGCCAAGCTCCCCCCATCATTCTGATAAATATCAAGAATTTTAACTGGACTGGATATCCCGACCGCAACTTCGATGCCACTTGGGGTCTCAAATTGTTGAGGATAATCTGCAGGCTCTGGCGCCTAGTTCTATTTCCAAGTCATCATCTTCCGCCTCCGATTTCTTCTATCTGGGGACATGGACCTTCCTGCGTTGATTCCTCCGGAGGACGAAGGTTCGGCCCACATCTCTACTGCAACGACAACCAGGCTACCGGAACCCCCGGCAGCGTTACTGGCTCCCGGAATGCGGGTGAAAGTGGATTCTGTTGGCGGTGAGTGGTATCTGCGAGCCTTGCTGTTCGAGCCTTCGATACCCTTATTAGAAACTCTCTCCGTGTTGTCCCTATCCCAACATACAATTGCCAGAGACTCTTTCAATAACGCGGATACCATTTCGGTTTTTCAGTTCGACTTCGCTAGGCCCTGTGATCATCGATCCTCCCTTATATCCTGAACTAGCCTCCGTCGGTTTCCTCTTCGAAGGATGGGTTTTGTAACCTCTTGAACTTTCACTCAATTTGACTCTAATAGCTCAATGCCGGCATCGAGCCCTCACTCGAACCCTTCCGACGATGATGACGCGTTTTCCATGAAAGCACCATTGCTTCGCAGTCGACTTAACACCCCCCTTCCCCATTCCTCTACTTCTTTATCAGTGTTGCCCCATCTATTACTTCCTCCTCGGGGCCCGAACACCTTTCCTCCAACAACCCATTTTCCATAAAAACACCATCGCTTCGCAGCCCACTCAGTGGCCCCTTTTCTCGTTCCTCGTTCCTCCACCTCATTATCAACCTCGTCCACAATTGCCCAATCTTTTACCTCGTCCTTCAGGAAAAAAGTCACAAGCATTGCATCGGCAGGCGCTTTCTTCACGGAAATGCTTGGACTCTCGGCCATATCGAGAATTTCCTGTACGAACTTTTAGTGAAAGTTTATTCAACAGTCCTCGTGCTGTTAATGCTAGGATTGTGTCTGTTCAGCGATATGGGGATGTTCTAGGAGTGTGACGTCAGTTCCTCATCTTTCATGTCGCTCGAGCCGACGGGAAGGACTTCTACCTCTGGTTGGATTGCAGACTGGACTGCCAGGTCCCGTTGCGGGCATTTGTGGCACAAGGTTTCCGGACGTCGAGTGCCACAGATACAGTATGTAATGATGAACTTCTAACGATGGCCCCAGAGCTAAAATGTGGGACCCTGACAGGCTGCTCTTTCTGGTCGACTTGACCACCTCCTCGATTATGCAAACAAAAGGGCCAGCGTAGAGGCCATTATGGTCTTCCCTACCCCGCCTCCTCTCATTGCAGCTGCGCAAATTCTATGTGCTATTGAAAAAGAGTCCCCGCAATACAGGTTGACCAAAGTACGCGCCAATGTTCACTGTTTGGCTATCACCGTTGATCTGCAGACACATAGTACAATTGCTGGTTCGTCGTCTCTACTGTCCAGGAAGTGTTGCTGCTGAGGTTTGGGGCCAACTATGAGCCATCTCATGGTTAATCGGCCCGATTTATTTACCAGTTACTTCAGTACATTCTTCAAGCTCTTTCCAAAATGTGAAGTCGTGCTGTTGGCAATGTCGGAGCTACTGGGGGAATGCATGATACTGGATCAATCGCCAACGGAATGGCACTTCCACATAAATCGTGACATTTCCAATCTCCAGCCTGAACCCGGGAAGTTGGTGTCGACCCAGCTGAGGTTTGTGTGCTGTCATTGGCTCACCCTCCTTTGTGAGCTGGACTCCCAAGATGATGAAGTAATGCAGACCCTTTCCCACACCGTACCAGCACTTCTTCACTGGATTGCAGCAATGGGGATCATGGGAAAAATTGATCAAGCATGAGGGCTACAAGCAGGGAAAATAGCAACAAGTGTGGGTAATTTGCTTCGTAGAGACAGTCAAGACAATAGGTTCAACGGTGCAGTGCAGGACAGGAGTCCAAAGTTGTTAACTCGATGACATGCAGCCCCAGGCCAGGAACGATCATCACTCGGAGCGGAGCCAAAAGCTCATGCAGTCTCGGCACTACTAGCTGTCTTACGAAATTCCCTGCATCAAGTGGTAGATGTTGACTGCTTGTTTTAGCTCTGCTGTTGGTGCACGTCATATGTGTAATGAATCAAATCGATCTCGGATTTAAGTTATTCATCCGGAAATACTATCATGGCACACCCTCTCAATAGCTTGTTGACCATAGAAGATAAATGACACCCCCAAGTAGTATGAAACTTGTGTGCACGCCGGAGGAGATGCAATAGAATAGCATGGCGACAGTCCCGGCAAATGCCAGAACCTCTGGAATTGAAGACAAGCTGGGTAATTTACAAGGATGGAGATTGGGGAAGGAGGAGGGCAACATGAAAAAACAAGGACGAGGAAGAACAAGGAGGAGAAGAACAGAGGTTACAAAAACAAGGGAACAACCAAAAATAAAGAAACCTAGAAAAACTAGAGTAAGCACTCAGGATCCAACCCACCGAGAGTAACTGGAGGTCACAACACCCCCCCTGCTCAGTGAGACCGAAATGCTTACCGGAAGTAAGGGACTCCGAGAGAAAACTACGTCAAAAATCACTTTTCAGGCTAAAAGAAATGAGACTAAAAAAGAAACAAAGAAAACGCCTTCAGCAGAGGATGAGGAATAAGAGGGCCAGAGCCCAGAAGCATGAGTGGATGAATAAACACGTATGGAATTCATCCGAAGAAATCGACCCAGGTATGCAGCAGCAATAAGACCTGAATCAGCATGACTGTGTTGGAATATGGGATGGAGTAACCTCCCACCATCAGGGATGGAGTAACCTCCCTGGCATAACGGGCAAGTAGTGTATGGATGCACGCTAGAGGTCCTGGGTTCGATACCAGGCTTGTCCATTTTATGTCATTTGTCCAGTCACCTGGTTTACCTCATTTGGATATCACGGAGTAAGTCCCGCAGGGCAACGTGAAATTTCTTCAGACTGTAGCCTCGGAAGACACAGTATGCATAAGGCCGACAGCAGGTATGGCACATAAGATGAAGGCATCACCGGGTAATGTGCCAAGTGCAAAAAAAGAGCACTTAGTCCAACCGCACACAAGTCTAATTTAATCTCGTACCTCCATTAAATAACAACTTGTGTGCATGCTGGAGGAGACACAATAGAATAGCGTGGTGACACTATCAGCAAAAAATTGTTATGCTCCTGAGTGCTCCGGAGTATGGGGAGCACTGGGAGAATCAGGAGGAGATTGGCCAGTCCAGGAACAGCTCATTTCCTCTGGAGTTGGTCAGGTACTCCAGGGCACTCCCAGGAGGGCATGGAGCATTGCTTTGTGCACAAACATATCCAGTAAATACAATTTAATGCTTCAAAATGTATAGGGGTGAGAAGCTTCTGGGAGCTCCTGGAGCATTTGAAAATGAAAAGCCAAAAAAAGAGGGAAGACTCCCCATCCTACCACAAGACTAACACAACAAGACACTACTTAACATTTAGATCAAACACTATACTACAGTCATTCACGGGCCAATGGTTCACATTTTGTAATTTTGAGACTATGACATTGGATCAAAACCAAATACAAAATTTTTACGATGGATAGTAGCCAGGCTGGGTATGTACATATTACCAAGAGATATAAAGAAATGGATGAAAAATGAACGAGAATAAAAGCAGACAAGAAAATGGTGCTTTCCTGGCTCAATGGTTCAGTGTGACATGGTGTGACAATTAGTTCACATGCCGAACTGATAATTCAGTAATATGGCATGAAGCAAGGGTTTGCAGAATATTTGCTCTACTGCTTGAGCTGCTTTGCTTGTGCATTGTCAGGGAGTGGGCCATTACTGATTCTGGTGAAAGCAGCAGGCACAGAAAGGAATATATTTGAGGTACTGAATTTGGAAACTCGGATGTAAGTATACCCAAGTCTGACAAGTGCTCGTTCACCACAACAAACAAACATGCGCACATGCGCCAGCGGCCTTCTGTTCCTTGGTAACACACCAAGCTATAGGACACACTGCAATGTCATAGACATGTTCCTGGAGAGTGCAAAATGCATAACTTTTGTGTGCACCGTTAACTCGTTGAACAACTGCTGTCACTCCTTCATTTTATGTCCGATTTGGTCAAATTTTTGCGTAGTCATAGCCATAGTTATAATATACAAGTGTGCAAAAAATAAAAAATTCCCGGGGTGAAATAAGGATGTTACATGCAAATGAACCATTGAGGGGTGTGAACCATTGGCACGTGAATGACTGTATACATCAAGGACACTGAGACTCACCAATACACTGTCAAAATTTATGGCCTGATATATGATTAATCTGGCAACTTAATCACTTTCGGACTTGCAGAATATGGAGGAGGGGGAAATGGGGGAGAATGAGGGGGGAAATGAGGGGGGAAATGAGGGGGGAAATGAGGGGGAGAATGAGGGGGAGAATGAGGGGGAGAATGAGGGGGGAATATAGAGGGAAATGAGGAAAATTTGAAAAATAGGGACTTCTAAAAAGTTGAAAAAATAATTAGGGAAAAAATCAAAAAAAAAATCAGGAACTGTAGTGCCTTTGAAGTGCTTTCAGGATATATAATTATTTGCGAAATTGAGGAAGAAATGATGGAGAAAAATGGAAAATACTTTCGGAGACCCGAGAAATAATGAGAACTGAATTGATGGGAAAGTCTGAAAATTGAATGGGAAAGTGAGGGGAAGCCTTGTAGCATTATTATTTTCTGCTGTTCTAATTTTTCCTGATTCTTCTTGGTCTCACTCCCAGCTGCTCCTGGATACTCCTGGATACTCCTGGAAGCTCCTGGGAGCTCCAGGAGTGCCCAATCTGCTGTTTTGTCTCCCACATGCTCCAGCCACTCCTGATGCTCCAGAGCATAATGGACTTTTGCTGATGCAGTCCTGGCAAATGCCAGAACCTCTGGAATTGAAGATGAGCCGGTAACCAGGTAGAAGAAAGGAGGTGGGGAGGGATTGTTATGGAAATGGGAAATTCCCATTTTTAGCCTCTTATGGCCTCTGTACAGTATATTATCACCCAAAAACACCCGATGTCCATGTTATTGTAAACCCCACTGTTACAACATCTGTTACATTAATTGTAACATCTTCTCAATGTCACAGCCCCCTCCTGCACCCGGACGCTATAGAAATGGGCCAATTAGGCCCCATTTTTATAACAGGGATGGTGGTGAATGTCAGGGACAGCTCTGAAAGCGGTGAGGTCCCTGCATGCAGGACTCGGTGGGATGAGTAGTGGCTGTGCATAGCGGCGATCCCGTCATGGGGTGAGCATCCCCGACCACTTAGTCTGAAGTGGGAAGTTGAGAAGAAGGCTGCTTCTTCTGTTCCCACCCCAGGCACTATTATATACATGCGGCCAGGGTCACGTGGAGGAAGCCACGTCATCTCCGCACACAGCCACACCTCCCTGGGTGTCTCCACAGGAGATCCTGGAGGTGGCTGCTCAGTAGGCGGGAGTGTGCGCGGCGAGTGTGGCAATCAGGGGGTGGGGTCAGGTATGTAGTAGTACATGGAGAAAGGGAAATCGACCGTAGAATAGAAATAGAAATAGAGATGGAGAGAAAGGGGAAATGGGGGAGGGGAGATGGGGAGTGATAACAGGGTAGTGCAGTATGGCATGGGGTGTGGCGCAGGGTCAGGCGGGTGTGCCCTGACAGTGAAAAAGAAAGAGGGAGTAGTAAAGACAAAGAGGTTAAGGAGCATCGAAAAGAGACCTAGCCTTAGAACCGTTGAAAGAGGGCTCACGGCTCTCTATGCTGACACAGCTCGTGGGGGACAACTCTCCCTAAACTCTACTTTCTCTCTAAACTTTGCTTGACTTGATCCTTCAACTCCATGGTGGGTTCTCCGGGATTCTGCAAGGTCCGGGCTCAGTGTCCACTACTCACTTGTTGTGAGCTAGATCACTGCCCTTATTCCTACTGTTGGAATTCCACACACTCACACCCTCTCTAGCGCGTCCTAGTACCTTAGAGGATTTTGGGGGAGGGGAGAACTTCTTTTCAAAATCCGGTATGTACAGGATTATATCTAATAATTATTTTTAGAAAGAATAGATGGCAAATATTGGTGCCATATGGCACCTGGGTACCTTATTAGGCGAAATAATAAAAAAGGGTAACAGTAACAATAAAAGAATATCAATCAATAACTGAAATGATGGTGAAATATGAAAATATAAGAAAATACGCGATTTCTCAACGGATTTACGGAATTAAGAGCCAAAATAAAAAATGCAGCCGAAGATAACTCTCACGCAGCCGATAAGCATTTTTACCAATTTATTAGACGCCGTAGGAACGAGTGAGGCTGGAATTCTGGGTTGCCACTTGAGATTCCCACGCCTGCACATGCCCGTGCCTAACTTGTCCAATGCAGAACTCCATCAATTCTCCACCGATTGGGACGTTCTTGATACCGTCGGAATCGTACGAATTAGCACTATTTTTGAATACCAAATCTGTACTGAGTC